GATAGATAGATAGATAGATAGATAGATAGATAGATAGATAGATAGATAGATGATAGATAGATAGATAGATAGATGATAGATGATAGATAGATAATAGATAGATAGATAGATAGATAGATAGATAGATAGATAGATAGATAGATAGATAGATAGATAGATAGATAGATGATAGATAGATAGATAGATAGATAGATGGATGGATGGATGGATGGATGGATGGATGGATGGATGGATGGATGGATGGATAGAGATAGGTATAGCTATATATAAATATATTGCTTTGCAAAAATTGTTTTGAAACGGAAGGCATGATTTCATGGCCCATTAGAGTATAATATCCTGCTAATTAAGCTATGTATTATAAATGACTATTCAATGGACTTGAACAGACCAGTAAAATATTTATTTTATTAAATGTATAAGCCCCTCATCTTGGCGAGATGTGACTCTAGCTGGCTTAGATCCAATTAAAAGCAAGATAAAATCTTAAACTATTGATTGAGTAAATATTAACAAATAATAAGTATTAGAAAATTAATAGTAAGGCATCAAACAGGGGTTTGTTTGTTTGTTGTGCATTGGGTGGCATTTCCTCCAGGACTTTATTTTCGGCAAACACATCTGTTTGCTTCTCCCTGGTGAACCTTGCCAAAAAACCCCAGCCGAGCCTTCGCACAGCTGCACGTAAGCACCGTATCTTTCACCCATCACAAAGCCCCTGCTCTCCACGACAAACAGCGAGCTCATAAAACCTCACCGTTCAGTTATTCACAGACCCCCCCCCCATCCAGGGCTAACTTGGGAATCCGCTCGATTGACTTCGCCGGCTTCTCGAGGCCGGCGGGCTCCATTCCACTTGAAAATCCTGCTGAGCTTTTAATAAAACTCTCGGCAGCAGGAATGCAATCTCCAATCCCTAATTAAACAGAGCAAAGCAACTTTCCGGGAAGGGATCTCTCATTCCCACAGGTCAAGAGGGAGGCATTTTGCTGGATGGTGTATAAAAAAAAGGAGGCTCCCCGTTTTGGCTGGAGGAGATTTTTCTTGGCCTTCCTCTTGGGGAATTTCTTCCCCCTAGTTCTCAACTTAACGACCACAGTTGAGCCCCAAAGGGCTGTTGTTAAACGGGACAGTTCTTTAGCGAGGTTTGCCGCCATTTTACGACCCTGCCTGCCACAGTTGTTAAGTGAATCGCTGCAGTTGTTAAGTTAGTGACACGGTTGTTAAATGAATCTGGCTTCCGTCTTGCCTTTGGCTTGTCAGGATCGCAAAAGGGGATCATGTGACAGAGGGATAGTGTAAAGTGTTAACACCACTTTACAAGGACTTGGTAAGGTCACACTTGGAATCCTGCATCCAGTTTTGGTCACCACGGTGCAAAAAAGATGCTGAGACTCTAGAAAGAGTACAGAGAAGAGCAACAAAGATGATCAGGGGACTGGAGGCTGAAACATACAAGGAACGGCTGCTGGAATTGGGAATGTCTAGCTTAACAAAGAGAAGGACGAGGGGGGACATGATAGCCATGTTCCAATATCTCAGGGGCTGCCCCAAAGAAGAGGGAGTCAAGCTATTCTCCAAAGCGCCTGAAGGCAGGAGAAGAAGCAACGGATGGAAACTAATCAAGGAGAGAAGCAGCCTGGAACTAAGGAGAAACTTCCTGACAGTGAGAACAATTAACCAGTGGAACTCCTTGCCTCCAGAAGCAGTGAATGCTCCAACACTGGAAGATTTTAAGAAGAGACTGGACAGCCATTTGTCCGAAATGATGTAGGGTTTCCTGCCTGAGTAGGGGGTTGGACTAGATGACCTCCAAGGTCCCTTCCAACTTTATTATTATTATTATTATTATTTACATGCCAGTTGCCAAGCGTCTGAAGTTTGATCATGTGACCACAGGGATGCTGCAACGGTCGTTAAGTGTGAAAACGGTCACAAGTCACTTTTTTCAGTGTCGTTCAGGGTCTGTTGATGGAATTGCTTGTGGAGTGTCAGGTTTCGATAAACTCAAATCCATGGTGGGCGGTAGTGAGGACAATGAACCAGTGGAGCAGCTTGCCTTCAGACGTTGTAGGTGCTCCATCACTAGAGGTTTTTAAGAAGAGACTGGACAGCCACTTGTCTGAAATGGGTGTAGGACCTCCTGCTTGAGCAGGGGGCTGGACTAGAAGACCTCCAAGATCCCTTCCAGCTCTATTCTGATTGACGGTGATGATGTTAAAATTTCTCCAGTTGAGCCCCCTGTGAACTCACCAAATGGATAGTTTGCATTGGCCACTAGGGGGCAGCAGGTGACCATTTTCATCCTTCCTGGGAATCATCAAACATCCATAGCCAGATGTTCTATTCTATTGTAGAGGTCGCCAACCTTGGCAACTTTAAGACTTGTGGACTTCAACTGGCTGAGGAATTCTGGGAGTTGCCAAGGTTGCAGACCCCTGTTCTATGGGGTAGAAACCCTCTTCTAGGAACTGAATTCACAGATCTTCTACCTAAATAGATCTCTCCAGGGCTTTAGCAATGGGAAGGACCCAGAACCAGAACCAGAACACAAAGCTCAGTGATCCAGGAAGGATATACAGATAGTCCTCTACTTATGACCACAGTTGGGATCAGAATTTCCATTGCCAAGCAAGGCGGTCGTTACGTGAGTGAGTCACTTCCGATTTTACGACCTTCCCCCCCCCAAGGTGGTTAAATAAATCACTGCAGTTGTTAAGTGGCTCACATGGTCATTAAGCGAATCTGGCTTCCCCCATTGACTCTGCTTGTTGGAAGCCAGTTGGGAAGGTCACAGAAGGACCAACGGACACTGCAACAGTCATAAATACATGTCAGTTGCCAAGCAGCTGAATTTTGATCACATAACTTTTGGGGATGCTGTCCTGGGCATGTGCAAAGACTGATTGTAAGGGACTATTTTGTAACTTTGAACCATCACCAAATGGAAGTTGGTAAGTCGAGGAATGGAACCAAGAAGCACTTTTTTTTTTTTACTTTTATCTCAAGCACGAGGCGGACTGTATGACTATATTTCCACCAGTGGTGTATTCAGAATTCTTGTGCGGTATTTTTTTCTCCCAGATGACAACGGCCTCTGCCTTACAATTTTCCCCTATTTTTTTTTCTTTCTTTTCTCCTGCTCACATTGCATAAAATCGAAATTCCTGCAGAAGGGGAAAAGTCGAAGCATCAGCTTGGTTCCCTTTTTAGCTTGAGTTCATTTATTTTTAATTAATCTTTTAATTAGCACTTAAATGCTCTTTACCGCTATATTCATAAATATTTTAGCCTAGTTTATATCGGGTATATGTTTCCTGAAAATGTTAACAAAATGCCACATACATAGAGTTTGCTGCTTTTTGGGGGGGATCAATTACAGGTAGAAAAATTTGAGCGAGGCATTTAAGGACGTCAATGGGAAAAACCCGATGGATTCTTTTCTTCTTAGTTTCTCATCTCCTCCCTGCAGTTTAGCACCGAGGCCTCTTTGAGCTCACCCTTATTTCCAAAGGACAATTAGAGAAGCATTTTCACCCTAATTGAAATACCAATTTAAAAAGCAACAGGAACACAGGCTGATGGGGAAAACGGATCGTTCACAGGGAAGTAAAAGCCATTTTTAGCATATCCCTGAAGACTTTTTTGTGTGTGTGTCAATTGTGGCTACATCACCCTCACTGAACAAAAATAAAATCTCTGTGAAAAGACAGGCAGTCCTCCACTTACAACAGTTCATTTAGTGACTGTTCAAAGTTGCAACGGCACTGAAAAAAGTGACTTGCGACCGTTTTTCACACTTACGACCTTTACAGCATCCCCCAGGGTCACGTGATCAAAATTCAGAAGCTTGGCAACTCACCGGTATTCACGACGGTCGCAGCGTCCCGGGGTCACGTGATCCCCTTTTGTGATCTTCTGACGAGCAAAGTCAGTGGGGGAAGCCAGATTCACTTAACAACCGTGCGACTAACTTAACAACAGCAGCGATTCATTTAACAACGGTGGCAAGACGGGTCTTACAACGAGGCAAAACGTACTTGCTTAACAGCAGCAATTTTGGCCTCCATTGGGGCCGTAACTCGAGGACTAGCTGTAATGATGAAGGCGATGCTTGATAGCAAGGCGGCCTGTATAGGTAGTCCTCCCACTTACCACCACCATCAGAACCAGAATTTCTGTTGCTAAGACAGGCGGTTGATAAGTTGTGCCCAATTTTATGATGTCTGCCCTGGTTGTTGAGCAAACCACCTTTTTCAGTACTGCTGTAACTTTGAATGGTCGCTAAACGAACGGCTGTAAGTCAAGGACTACCTGTAGAGAACACTAAAACATATAGTTTTTTTAAAAAAAGAAATATAGTTTTATAAAACCTTGCTGTCATATTAATCAAACAAGTGTTTCTTTGACCGTTCTCACAACAAAGCATAGATTAGATGAGTTTTTTAAGAAGAGACTTGACAGCCACTCGTCTTAAACGGTGTAAGGTTTCCTGCTTGAGCAGGGGGTTGGACTAGAAGACCTCCAAGGTCCCTTCCAACTCTGATGTATTCTGATTTGCAAGCTCCAAACTTTCCCATCCACACAGCCCTATTTCTGCGGTGCAACAGATGCCCTTCAAGGTCCCTTCCAACTTTACTATTATTATTATTATTATTATTATTATTATTATTATTATTATTATTATTATTATTATTATTATTATTATTACATGGCTGCAAACTTTGCAGTCTGCTTGATGGGTGAGGGTTTGGATGCGACTTAAAACAGGCCTGTTTAGCTTCTTGAAAAGTTGACATCCCACCCCACTGCTCCCCAAAGCTGCCCTTATTTTCAGAGCGAGACACCCTCAAATTAAATTAACATTAATTTAATGAATTAAAGATTAATTCATTTAATTAATTACAAATGAATGCTTTTTTAAAAAAAAAAAAACTTGCAGAGGAAGAAAAAATGTTCAGGAGTGTTTTAAAAGCTTTATTTATTTATTTTAATTTTCCTTTTGCTTCTATCTTCCGGTTTGCAAGCCCTTTCCCTCATTTCACAATGACCGGAAGGATCGTGTCGTTTTGCTTTAGCTGAACAGCCAACTCTCCTTCCCCCTGGTGGGTCTTTTGCAGATCCCCCCCCCTAAAAGCTGCAAAAGAGGCTTTTTCTCACACTAAGAAGGGAAGGAAGCCCTGGCAAAATACTGTATGAAGGAAAGGGTGATGGTGAATTTAAAAAAAAAAGATACCGAAGGGGGGCTAGGAAGGCGAGGGGTCCTTCCCACACATCCTCCCCCTCGGTGGCAGGTTGGGGGGCTTGGCCGAGATGGAGATTCGCATTGCCGCCGAGCCCCCTCAGGGCAGTAAGACAGAGGGGGCTCATTCCCGAGGGTCGTCGGGGGCAGGGATCTTTTGGCGGCTGGGCTCGACCCCCCAGATCTCGCGGGCGTACTGGGCAATGGTGCGGTCGCTCGAGAACTTTCCAGAAGTTCCAATGTTCCGGATCACCTTCTTTGTCCACTCCTTGGAGTTCTGCGGAAGGCCAGCAACAGAGAAATTGAGAGAAGGAAGGGAAGCCCTTCTCCTCTTTGTTAAAATACATTTTTATTAGAAGTCTTACAAAATGCATAAAAACTAACCCAAACTAAGAGAGAGAGAGAGAGAGAGAGAGAGAGAAAGAAAAAAGGAAGGAAGGAAGGAAGGAAGGAAGGAAGGAAGGAAGGAAGGAAGGAAGGAAGGGTGAGAGAAAGGAGGAGAGAGAAAGGAAAGAAAAAAAAGAAAATTGAAAGAGAAAGAAAGAAAGAAAAAACAGAGGGAGGGAAGGAAGGAAGGAAGGAAGGGAGATGAGAGAATAAAGGAGAGGAAGAGAGAAAGAAAGAAGAAAGAAAATAGGGAAGGAACAAAGGAAAGAGAAGGAAAGAGAAGAAAGGAAAAGGAAAGGAAAAAAAGAGGAAGGAAAAAAGAAAGGAAAAGAAAGAAAGAAAGAAAGAAAGAAAGAAAGAAAGAAAGAAAGAAAGAAAGAAAGAGAAAAAAGCTTCCATTTTCCATTCTAACAAATATAAGTACCATCGCAACTTATGAGTGTGATGGGCAGGCTTCATCAAATCATAAGCCACATCACAAACAATCAAAACTATTAAAGCCAGGAAAAAAAATTCACCACTGGGGGGGATGTAATCCAATTTACTAAAAATACAGTCCTTTGTCTAATGCCCTTATTACAGATTTGCACTTGCGGTCTCTTTAGAAATGGCTCTCACAGTTTTAAAGAAAATATTACTGTGAAAATAGATCTACAGACCCCTCATATCCTGGACATAAATTGTTTCAGCTTCTACCCTCAGAATGACACTATAGGGCACACCAGAACAACTAGACACAAAGACGCCATCACTCTGCTAAACAACTAATTCCCACAACACATCAAACTATTTAGTAAGGCTGATTACTATTATTCTTCCCATCTTTCCTATTAGCTATCTCCTTATCTACTGATGACTATAACACTGTTGCTTGGATCTTACAATTGATATTGTTTTATCTAGTTTCCTAGTATGATTTAGGTTGATTGCTTCTTTAGTATCCTATGACTATCACTAAGTGTCGTATCTTATGATTTATGATGAACGTATTTTTACGATGACTATGATCAGGATTTATACCTTTTATGTACGCTGAGAGCGTATGCACTGAAGGCAAATTCCTTGTGTGTCCAATCACACTTGGTCAATAAAGAACTCTATTCTATGATGGATAAAAGACCGAAAAACGGAGGGAGATGCTGGGAAGAAGATTTTTATTCTTATATTTTAGCATCCGTACCCCCAATCCTTCTCTTCATTGGACTAGAAGACATACCCAGATCCACAACCGTTCTTTCTATGTTTTAGCCTCCAGCCCCCTAACCATCTTTGTTGCTCTTCTCTGCACTCTTTCCAGAGTCCCAACATCTTTCTTATATCACGGTGACCAGAACTGGATGCTAAATTTAATTTAATGAACTGGATTAACTAAACGCAAAATTTAACAAAATTACGCTTCTCTTTACCAGCCTTGGCTAGATAGTAGCTAATACGACTTAGGGGGTCCTTCTGATTCTAACGTCCCCTGATTCCAAGGAGGCTGGCTGGTGGCACTAATCCTGCAATTTGGCAAACACCTGGACCCCTCTGGCACAAACTCACCTTGTAAAGGGCGCTGACCTTTTCTTGACATTTAATGTAAGCTTCGTAGTCGGCAAAAACTTTAAACCTGCAGCAAGAAAAAGGATGATTACTGGAAAGCCCAGTTTGCTCATTAAGATGCAGGAGGCAGGAGTGAGCTCCCTAAGGTCATCCAATCCAACCCCTTGATCTGGAATAAAGCATCCCTGACATCTGATGGCTGTCCAGCCTCTAGCTCAGTGCTTCTTAATCTTAGCAACTTTCAAGACAAGTGGACTTCAACGCTGGCTGGGGAATTCTGGGAGTGGAAGTCCACACATCTTAAAGTTGCTAAGGTTGAGAGACACTGAGTTAGCTCATTGTCTATTGTCCCTTTTGTTGCTGTTGCTTCTAACTTTGGGTGTGGACCTGCCCTTGGAAAATTTCAGCCCGCTGTTTTGTCTCTTGCGTGGATGAAAATGGAAGACTGCCTTTGATTCCCAGCAAAATTTAAGAAATTCCCATGATTTAAAAAGTTAGGATTCTTAAACTTCGCTTTAAGCTGCCCCCTGCTGGACACCCAGCTCAATGGCAGAAGAGAAAGTCTGAGTGAAATACCCAAAACCAGGATCCTGATGAGATTGGGGGGGGGGGGACTTCAACTCCCAGGATGCCTCAGCCAGCAGTTGTGGACTTCAACTTCCAGAATGCAAGATGGCTGGGGGATTCTGGGAATTGAAGTCTACCCATCTCAAAGCTGCCAAGTTGGGAAACGCTAAATATATGGCCCCATTTATTCAGTGAATTAAAGGCCTGGTTATACTTACTATTTATGAGCAAACTGCCTATAGATGTAGACTTTGTACGGATAAGCATAATAAAATATGGGATGCATGTATATACAGTATATATATATATATATATGTATGCATGTATATATGTATGTATATATATATATATATATATATATATATATATATATATATATATATATATATATATATATATATATATATATATACACACAGTGGGTTAAAAAAACATTTTTAGGTAATGTATGTGTGTGTATATTCTAATACACTTATATAACTATCATGCAAACATAAATGTATATTTAATAAATATTTACAAAATATAAATATAACAGTATATATTTTGTAAATAACTGTTCATTTACAAAATATAAAAACATTCATATTTATTACATGCATATATATGTAATAAATCAATGTTTAGTATAATATATATTCATAATACATGCATTAGATAATTCTACATAGAATGGCAACCGTTTATTGTTGTAAGAGGTATACTATATTTTAACTTTTTTGTTGTATTTTGTTTTCATTTTTTAAGCACTTGTGGTTTTTAATAATGCATGTATCATTGCGTTTTGTTCCTTTTGGGGGGTTTTTTTCTGTTACTAATAAAATAACAGAACAGAATAACAGGCAGAGTAACAGAGTCGGAAGGGACCTTGGAGGTCATCTAGTCCAACCCTCTGCTCAGGCAGGAGACCTATACCATTTCAGACAAATGGCTGTCCAATATTTCTTCTTATTTGGAAAGCAATAACAAATGTATTTTTTTAAAAAAAAAAAAAACCTTGAGAAACACTGCCTTAAAGGAAAAGGAACATGCATGGGTTCGCTCTCACCGGTCATGGTACATGAGCATGTTAACAATATCCTTAAAGAGATCCGGCTGCTTGGGTGAGAAGAAGCCGTTGCTCAGCTGATCGATGGCTTGCTTCAGTTCGGGAATGTGGTCATAATAATCCTTGGCGCAGTAGCTGTGAGGAAAAACAGGGTTTATTTAGCCCCAAAATGATCGTCCTGCAGCCTGAGCTATGCTGACCCTTCTTAGCTTCCCTACTGGAGAAAAAAAAAACTTTAAAAAGATAAAACAAAACCGGTCTATTTTACCAGCTCTTTTGGAGAAAAACAATCCAATCCACTTTTGCCCCGGTGCTTCTCACCTTTTGGCAAGGCAGCTCCCATCATCCTCTCACAGGCATGGCTGCTGGGAATGATGGGAGCTGCAATCCGTCCCTTTTTGCTGGGGAAACCTGGATTCGGCTGTATTTTTTTTCACAGCAGCCTCTGAGGTTTATTTGGACAAAGGGCTGCGTGTTCTTGGAAGTGATTCCCCTTCGGAGGGCAGCTGGGTGTAAATGGCATCCAGCCTTTCCTAGAGTGCTGGGCATGTTTTAAGGCAGGGGTCTCCAGCCTTGGCACCTCCCAGAATTCCTCAGCCAGCCAAATGTATGACTGTTGCAGTGTCCTGGAGTCATGTGCCCCCCCCCTTTTGTGACCTTCTGACAAGCAAAGTCAAGGGGAAAAGGCAAATTTCCTTAACACCCGTGTTACCAACTTAACAATTGCAGTGATTCACTTAACAACGGTGTCATTAAAGGTCGTAAAATGGGGCCAAATTCACTTAACAGCCTTCTCACTTAGCAACAGAAATTTTGGGCTCAATTGTGGTTGCAAGTCGAGGACTGCCTGTATCAGTAATTGCATGACCTCTGTAGATGCTATAGGCTAAATAAATAAATTACAAATATCCCGGTGCCCATTTTAGCCTCACTAAGCCAGTTAGGACTCATGGAATCCTAGTCCAGGGGTAGGCAACCTTGGCTGTTTTATGACTTGTGGACTTCAACTCCCAGAATTCCTGAGCCAGCCATGCTGAGGGGAAAGGGAGAGGTTTCCAAGCTGAGCCAGGCTGGCTCAGGAATTCTGGGAGTTGAAGTCCACGAGTCGTAATAGAGCCGAGGTTGCCTACCCCTTGATAGAGCAAGGGTAGGCAATCTTGGCTCTTTTACGACTTGTGGACTTCAACACCCAGAATTCCTGAACCAGCCATGCTGGCTCAGGAATTCTGGGAGTTGAAGTCCACGAGTCATAAAAGAGCCATGGTTGCCTACCCCTGTTCTGGTACCAACCCCCTGCTCAGCCTGTGCCTGCCTGGAACAAAGATCCCATCCTCCTCTGCCACCTACCCCTTCTTGTCCATCTCCTCCACATCCTCCACGCGCATGCCAAAAATGAACAGGTTTTCCTCGCCGGCTTCCTCTGCCATCTCCACGTTGGCGCCATCCATGGTGCCAATGGTGAGAGCCCCGTTCAGCATAAATTTCATGTTCCCGGTTCCTGAAGCTTCGGTACCGGCTGTTGAGATCTGCTCGGAAAGATCAGCTGCGGGGATCACTGCGCAAGAAAATAAGAGACATTTTACCTAATGAAATGGATCCCGATTACTATTGTATTCCAGAAGAATTTCAGCTGTAAATTGTGAGTTACTGATTGAGAATACCTGCGAATTAAAGTAATCTTTGATCTGTTCATTTGAGTAACTACGGCTTGTCTCACGTGGATAGTGAAGCATTTAATCTGCGTGGGCAGGATAGAAAGAGTGGATGACCTCTTTGGGCATCCCTCATCCTTGGTAGGATTCAGAGGAACAGGTGCCACCTCTGAAAACAGGCACCATTTAACCAAGCTGGCCGAACTCAGAAATCTTAGCCTAAA